TCAAACTCCTGAGCTCAAACAATCCTCCCACCTCGGCCTCCCATTTCTTAGCATTTTAAAAGTTTCTCCAAAGAGGTCTTGAACTAATTCTTCTTAGAAACTTTATAGATTTTGTTGTTGTAATAAATAGTATCTTATTTTGATTAGATTTTTCTACATGATTATTCCCGATAGAGAACCACTTTTGATATTTGTCATTGGATCTTGTACCTGGCAGGCTCGATAAACTCTCTCGTAAGATCCAATAATTTGTTGTTTCAGCCTGTTTCTTTCCAGCTAGATGATCCCATCATCTGAAAATGGTGAGTTTTCCCTCTTCTCATCTAATTTTCTCTTTCCCCTACCTGTTCTCCTTTTCTTCTAGCATTGGCCAAGACCTCTGATACTATATTTAGCATTAGTGATAGCTGGGGAAACCCTTGGTTTGAATTTATACTTTCTCCACTCAGTAATATTCATGATAGTCATTGGTATGCAATCATTAGCAAGTTATATCTTCCTATTTCTATTTCATTAAGAGCTTTTTCTTAGTTTCTTAGATTATAGATGTTTTGAACCTTCCCGAAAGCTTTTTCTGCATTAGCTGACTTTCAGTTTTCCTGCAGTTTAGTATTTTGTTTCATTTACATTAATGGAGTTTCTAAAGTTGAACAAGCCTTTCAATTCTGGGATAAAATTCTGTCCGATCATAATACACTCTTTTTAAATACACTGTTGAATTCAGTGGGGAAGTGAACCTATCATTTAATTTTCTTGTATTGTCTTAACTGCTTTTGAGACGTTGAGGACACTGGCCCTGTCGGATGAGGCCGGCAGCTTTTGCTTCTTTTTTTTCCCACCCCTGCCCCTTATCCAGCTTTTGCTGCTTTGTATTTTCTGCAACACCTTGTGTAAACTATGAATCAAATGTTTCTTAAAAGACTGCTGATACCCGTAAATCCCCCTGAGCCTGTGAATTTCCTGCGAGAATGGGTCTTTATTGATCATTTTGATTTCTTTCATATGTATTAATCTATTCAAATCTATTTTTTCTTGTGCTAATCTTGACTTTTATACGTTTTTAGGAAGTTGTCCACTTCTAGAATTTCAAGCAAGATTTTGCTCAGGATTTATTTATTAAAAAATCTTTGTAGAATGAGTGTTCTTATTTTCCTCTCATTCTTCAATTGGTTCTTTATGTCTTCTTTCGTCTTGTCTTGACAAATGTATATCTATTTTATTAAACTTTCAAAGAATGAATTATCAGCTTCCTTGCTCTCCATTTTTAAAATTCATTTAATTTATTTTAGCCCTCACCATAATGATTTTCCTCCTCTACGTTTCCTTGGGCTTGCTCTGCTGCCCCTTCCCACCTTCCTGAGCTCAGTGCTTAGCTCGTTCATTTTTACCCGCTTACGTTTTCCAAGAAATGCGTTCCCAGCTATTAGCTGGCTCTGTTAATATTAGCCTCATAAATTTATGCCTCATAAATTTTGATATGCAGTATTTAAATTATTAAAACATATTTTACTATATATAATAATTCATATAAGAATATATTAATAAATATTATTAAGTTTCAAAACGTGCTATTTTATTCTCACGTCTCTTGTCCATTCCCAATTTCCTTGCATTAAGTTGCAGAGTGTGTTCTGTGCCGTAGTGATTCTTTGGGATTTCTTTAGCCTTCTTTCATGTCCCCATACAAGGGCTGCTTTTGTACATACATTGCACGTGTTTGAAAGAATATATATTATCTGCTTTTATTCATGTAGAGGGTTATTTGTATGTGTGTGTATGTATACACAGTTAATATATATTTATAACTAGAGTATTTTATAAAATATTCACAATACATTTATATAGATGAAAACATTTTGAACTATGTAAATACATATTTTATGTCTTCGAAACTAGTATTTACTGAAAAGTTTAATTTATACTTATCATATATTCTTATAAATATACATCATAATGTATATAACATATTTGTAAAATTTATACAGTGGTACGATACCTGGAATATCCTGGCAATCTGGTTTAGAATGTTGGCTCCTCTGTTTGGTTTTTGCCACTTTGGTCTCTGATCCCCTGAGAGGGATGTGACTCCAAATACATGTGACAATGATTTACTTCTCCTTGCGTTTCTGATAATGTTGCCTGGTATATTTTATGGTGAAATATTTAGGCACACTATGTTTATGATGGCTGTATTTTCATATTCAAGTCTGCCTTTCATCAGTATATATCATATATCTTTGTCTCATGATATTTTACCTTAAGTTCTATTTTGTTAAATACTAAGAGAGCCACAACTGTTTAGTTTGTTTCATATTAGCAGCTATATTTTTCTAACTGTTTTCTTAACCATTTAAAATCTTTTTCTATGTGTATCTCTTGTAGGCAATATATTCTTGGAATCATTACAAACTCAGAGAGTCTCTGTCATTTTCTGCATTTAATCCACTTAGATTTATTGGAAATACTTTTATACTAGGACTTATTTCTGCCTTTGAATTTCATTTTTTCCATTTACCCTGCTTTACTTTTTAAAAACTCTCTTCCTATTTTCCTTTGGATAGAGTTGCATTTTGCTGGTTGAAAGGGTCTACATTTTATTTACTTAACTTGAAGACACATCTATATTGATTACTCCCTTTGCTACACTGAACTTACCAACGTCTACATGTTGTCTCTCGTGAGACAAGTACATAACCAACCTTTCATGGGCCTCTGCTCTCTCCTCGTCCTGCCCCGTTGTCATTGCCTGGATTTTCTACAGTGTTATTTTCCCATGATCGTGGATATATTTTGTGTTTTTCTTCACTTTACTGCTAGCTGTTTTTTTTTTTCTAATGAAAAAGAAAAAAATATACTTTACCAAAGCACTTGGCCACACCTACTTCCTCACCTCCTGCAGCGTCTCCAGGATTTGTTGCTCATCTTAACCGAGTCCTTCCTGCAGGAGCATTTGTCATGGGAATCTTTGCAAGCGGCAAACCTGCTGAGGCCTGAGAAGTCCAAAGGTATCATGCTGGAACAACAACTTGGACAGATGAAAATCCTACCTACAAACTTCTTTTCTGTAATACTTGAGAAATATCCCTCAGTTGTCTTCTTGCATCCAGTGTTCCTCTTAAGGAGTCCGATGTAATTCAATTCTTGTTTCTCTGTAGGTGATCTGAAAGCCTTCAAAATTGTTTCTCTGCGGCCCGGCGCTGTGGCTCACGCCTGTAATCCTAGCACTCTGGGAGGCCGAGGCGGGAGGATCGCTTAAGCTCAGGAGTTCGAGACCAGCCTGAGCAAGAGCGAGACCCCGTCTCTACTAAAAAATAGAAAGAAATTAGCTGGACAACTAAAAATATATATATATAGAAAAAATTAGCCGGGCATGGTGGCACATGCCTGTAGTCCCAGCTCCTCGGGAGGCTGAGGCAGAGGGATCGCTTGAGCCCAGGAGTTTGAGGTTGCTGTGGGCTGGGCTGATGCCACGGCACTCACTCTAGCCTGGGCAAAAGAGTGAGACTCTGTCTCAAAACAAAAACAAAAACAAAAAAAAAAAATTGTTTCTCTGTTTTTCATGGTTTCACGTTTCACATAGCGGTTCTAGAGTGAGAGAGAGTGTGTGAGAGAGAGAGTGTGGGTCTGTCTGTCTGTCGGTCTGTCTCTGCATGTTTCCTGTTTTCTCCTCTTGCCAAGGTATGAGTCTCTTCAATCTTGAGGTCTTTCCTTTTTCTACAATTCTTCTTCAATCTTGAGGTCTTTCCTTATTCTACAATTCTGAAAAATGTACCTAGATTCTTTCTTCAAATATTTCTTCCTATCCCTTTTGTCTCTCCTACAGGGCTTCTGAAAACCCATATGTGAGTGCATCTGCTTTTGTCCTTCACGCCTCCTAACTTCGGCCTTTTCAGTCTCCCATCCTTTCCAGGAGCCGTCTGTGAGAGGTCCTCACCCTTCCTCCAGCCCACCCTCCAGCCACACTGTCCTGTACTGACCGCATCTGTGGTCGTCTGCGATGTATTTCCCGTCTGGTGTTACCATCCAGCTCTTTGTAATGGTTCTTCCTGATCCGCGTGCCGACTTTATGTCCTCCTCACCCCTTAGCTAGATGGAGCCTGTTTCCTTGCGATTCCTGCACCATCAGCTCGCGCAGCTGCGCTCACAGGGTTCTGTTCCGTGGTGTGCTGACATTCTGTCAAGGTCGCAGTTCGCAGTCACGTTGGCTTGTGAATTCAGGTTTCCCGGGGGCGATCGGACACCCAGTGTGGTGAGGGGAAGAAGTGAAGCCTGAATGCCCCGCCTGGTGATTGTGGGAAGTGGGAGGGCTCGGCCCCAGGGCACGGGGCCCCAGAGACCCCCACTGGCTGCCACCCTCATCTCTGGCTAGGATTTCACCCTGAACTCACTGGGAGAGACTCTGCACTCTGTAATGTCCCTGCCTGGCAGTTTGGAGCGGGAGCGCCTCAGGGGCAAACGCGCACGGGCAGGCGATCGTCTGTGTCCATCAGCCCCTCAGAGCTCTTGCTGTGCCTCACGGTCCCCAGAGCACCTGTGACCTAGGCTACTGCTCCCTGTTTCTCCGGTGAAGAGGAGGCCATGATGGCCTCAAAACTCATGACTGCAAGCATAGAAGCAGAAAAGTATTCCCGTCACCTTTTTCTGGCGGACGTCTCAGACACCGTGTGCCCAGGCTGTAGTCACTCTCCGCACCCACCTTCAACACTCACCAGCACAGCCGCCAGTTCCCACACGCTGTGGCTCCGTTTTGTCTTGTTGCAGAAATCCATGTTTCAGTGTCTTTTCTATAGTTCCTCCAGACTTAGTAGCCTGCATCCTCCTGCCCATTCCTCCCTACCCAAGGTTGAGCCTGAGCCTGGGGGCTCCTCCACAGTACCCTGTGCTCCAGCCACCCTGGAAAGATCCCTGGGGCCCCATCCCTGGTTCTGAGGCTGCACGAGCCATCTGGCCATCCCTTCCCAGGACCTCCCTCCCGGTGAAACCCCCGACCTACCTGGTCTCAGAGCCATTGACAGAAGGACGGCCAGAGGTCCCCTCTGGGGAAATGATCAGAACTAAGGAGGACACAAAGAAGACAGTGGCTGTGCAGGGGACCCAAATAGAGAATGGAACTGGGTCCCAAAACCCAGAAAGGAAGTGGGGAGGGGACAGAACCCACTCATTAGGGTCCCAGAGGCCAGGGGGACTTGAGGCCTGAGATCTGATCTTTATAACCAGCTGAATTCAAGCCTGGTGCTGGGGCCAGAGGGGAGGAGGCTCTGTCCGTGCCAGCAGGAAGTGAGCGGCTGGGCTGGGATACACAGTTGTGCTTCCTCCCACACAGCCTTGCCTCTCGGCACACCCAGCCCATCATGGTACCACATGGCTAGCTCCCAATCAGCTCAGATAGGCATGTTTATCTCCCAGAGTCTTCAGCCCCGCAAGCCCTGAATGTAGCTTCCCACCAGCCCACGCCCCAGGGATCGATCCCCAGAGGAAGGCCACCCTGGTTTCTCCTTCCTGAATGTGGGGAACCCCAAGTTGCCTGGCCAGCCCTCCTTCCTCCCCGACTGAGACCCAAAACCTATCTGTCCTTGTTGGGAGCCAGGTGAGGGTCCACACAGGAGAAGTGGTGGGGGCCAAACAGGAAAAAAAAGTAGAAAACAACCATCTGGGGGCCAGGAAGAGAGAGTGGGGTCGGGCTCCAGAGATCGAAAGTAGGGGGCCCAGAGCCAGTCCCTCAGGATCCCTTAGGGCAGGAGTGACCCACGCCTAACATGTGCACACAGGAGCTGTTGGGGCATGTGTGTGTGTGTTTGTGTGAGAAAATGAAGAGTTGTAGGTGTGCCGGTGTGAGAAAGACACAGACCGAGGGTCAGTGAAACTGTCCGGGGACCTCTGGGTGTATCTTCCCAGCAGTTGGGGCCAGGATCGGCAGGGCGGAACAGATGTGAGAGCCCGTCTCTGGGGACAGGGGTCCTCACTCCCCTCAGATCAGAGCAGAATACATGGCAGCATCAGGGTGGTAGAGACATGGGGAGCTGTGGGGTGTGAGGGACAATTCCTTCAGGTCCCGGGGGGGTTGCAGGGATATTTCCTTAAGAAAAGCTCACCTGGAGACACCACCAGTCTAATTTTCTGAGAACAGTCATCACCTTGTGGGAAGAGTTGTCAGTTCCATGCCAGGACATCCCTGAGTTCATCTCCTCCAGCTGAATCACGGTGACGTTGAAGAAGCCAGCGTCGGGCTCGTCCCAGATGGTGCGTCGAGAGTTCTGAGCTGCTGTGCGGGGCTTGGAACTGGAGACTACTATGGTACACGAATCTGGATCCGTCTGCTGACACCAGGCGTTGGGCTGATAGGGCCCTCTCTTGGGCGAGTACTTGCATCACACAGAGAGTGTCCAGGCACTTGGTGAAGTTCCTCAGGCACAGGTGACTTTCCCCGGGAACCTGGGTAACAAAACCCCAGGTCAGAGCCCTGGCAGGACCCAAACTTTCTCTCACAGGGCTAGAGAAAGGGCAGAGGGAACACTGTGCAATGCCAACACCCAGAACGTGGCCCCCAAAGCCACCCTGCTCTGCAGCCACCCTCAGCTTCATCCCCCTGCCCGCTACCACTCCATGGCACCCGAGGCCAGGAGCACCAGCAGCACAGGCAGCAGCAGCAGGTGTGGGTCCCCCGAGGCCATGTCACTCCCAAGCTGTTTCTGACAGTGGTGAAGAAGAGAAAATGGGGAGCCCTCAGCAGGGAGGGAATCAGAAGCTGAGTCTGACTCCACCCCAGCTTCCCAGAGTCTCTGGGCTGGAAGATCTGGACAAGGTCAACGCCTTGGTTGGGGAAGTGGGTGGCCCAGGGGGCGGGCTCTGCAGGCTGGGGAAAGAGAGGCAGCCAGGCCTGGACTGGGGCCACCAGCTACAGGGTCGGTCTCTGGGCCTTGGCACCCCAGCCCTGCCCCAGGTGCTCAGATCCCTTTTGCCCAATTTTTCCCCACCTCTGCCGCTCCACACATTCCAGCCCATCCTGCTCCCTCGCTCTTGCTGGAGGAGCTCTGAGAATGTTCGAGAATAAACCCGGGAAACGTGGGGCCGTTCCTCTTTTCTTTCTCTCTATGCACTCCCTAGGAGTGGTCAGGGTCAGGGCCCCTGATTCTAACTGCTTATTGAAATTTCATTTCTTTCCTGTGAACTGCTATGCAGTTAAATAATAAAAATTGTATGCCTTTTCTCCGATTGGTCTCTCTTTGTTAGTTTTAATTCACAGGCCCTCGGGTGATGAACCTAAGAGGACATTCTACCCTCCCCCCACAGTCACCGCCCGCCATGCACTCAGATACACTGCGCTTGCAGACTCGAGGACAGGGCGCTGTGGGGGAGGTTCAGAGGGGAAAGGGCAAAAGGACGGGGGGGGGGACCAAAAAGAGTACAAACTCTTTTTTCAGAAAAAACTTGAAAAGAAAAAATGTGATTTTTTTTTCCCTTTCAGAGGAAAAACTGCTTTAATTAAATGGAAAGTATCAACCAAACCACTCAGATATAAAAGCACATTGTGGGGTAAAGTGTCTTAATCTGTGTTAATGAGAAGTTAAATGCATAACAAAGAGCTGAGTACTTTGCTGCTGACAGCTGTGCGGGGCAGGATCTGCACAGGAGCATCGTCCTCGGGGGACGTTGTGTTTCCCGTCCCACACGGTGTCCACTGCCCGCATGTGCTAGTTGAACACACCATGTGCGGTGAGAGTGACTGAGGGATGGAATTTTTATTTTGCATGTAATTTTCATTAATTTGCTTTACGTTTTTATTGGTTTTTGTAACTGATACATAATTGTACATATTTATGGGGCACATAGTGAAGTTTTGATACATACGATGTCCAGTGACCGGATCAGGGTGATTAGCATATCTCTTATCTAAAACATTTATCATTTCTTTGGGTTGTGAACATTCAATATCCTCTCTTCTAGCTGTTTGAAAATATGTAACACATTATTGTTAACTATAGTCATCCTACAGTGCTCTAGAACACTAGAACGCACTCCTCTTACCTAGCTGTAATTTTGTATGCTTTAACAAATCCTTGCCTCTCCCCGCTTTTCCACTGCCATTCCCAGCCGCTGGCAACCTCTTTTCTACTCTTTTCTTCTCTGAGATCAGCTATTTTAGCTTCCGCATATGAGTGAGAACATGCGGTGTTTAACTTTCTGTTCCTGGTTTATTTCACTCTCCATAGCGTCCTCCAGGCTCATCCACGTTGCCACACGTGACGGGATTTTCTTCTCTTTTATGGCCCAATAGCATTCCGTGGTATATATACACCACATTTTCTTTATCTATTCATCTGTTGTTGGACACGTGCACTGATGTCTCGGCCATTATCACTAGTGCTGCAATAAACACGGGGGAGCAGATACCCCTTCAGTGTACTGATTTCCTTTCCTTCGCATAAATACCCAGTCGTGGGGTTGCTGGATCATATGGTAGTTCTATCTGTAGTTTTTTCAGGAAGCTCCACGCTGTACTCGTTTACATTCCCACCAACAGTGTAGAAGAGTTCCCTCTTCACCTCATCCTCACCAGCATTTGCTATTTTTTGTCTTTTTTGTAATAGCCATTCTACCTGGGGTGAGATGTTCTCTTACTGTGGTTTTGATTTGCATTTCTCTAATGATCAGCGATGTCGAGCAGTTTTTCATGCATTTCTTGGCCATTCTTATGTATTCTTTTCAGAAATGTCTGTTCAGATCATTTGCCTATTTTTGAATCAGATTGTTTGGTTTTTAGTTGTTGAGACAGTTGAGTTCCTGGTACATTGTGGGTATTCATCCCCCGTCCGACGAATAGTTGGCGGATATTTTCTCCCACTCTGTAGGTTGTCTTTTCACTTTGTTGATTGTTTCCTTTGCTGGGCAGAAGTTTTAGTTTGTTGTAATCCCATTTGTTTATTTTTGCTTTTGTGGCTGTGCTTTTGAGGTCTTATTCAGAAAATCTTTTTCCAGATCAATATCCTGAAGGGTTTCAACTGTATTCTTCTTGTAGTTTTATAGTTTCAGGTCTTACATTTAGTTCTTCAATCCATTGAGTTGGTTTTTGTATAGGGTGAGAGATTGGGATCTCATTTCACTTTTCTGCATATGGATGTCCAGTTTTGCCAGCACCATTTGTTGAAGAGACTGTCCTTTCCTGAATGCCTGCTGGTGGTGTCTTTGTCAAAAATCAGTGGGCTGTAGATATATGGATTAATTTCCTGTTTCTCTATTCTGTTTCACTGGTCTATGTGTCTGTTTCTATGCCAGTATCATGTTGTTTGGGTCACTATAGCTTTGTATGATAGTTTGAAATCTGATGGCATGCTGCCTCCAGGTTTGTTCTTTTCACTCAGGATTGCTTTGACTATTCGAGGTCTTTTATGGTTCCATATGAATTTTAAGATTGTTTTTTCTATTTCTTTCAAGAATGTCAGATATAGAGCCAAGATATGGAATCCACCCAAGTGCCCAACAACAGATGAATGGATAAAGAATATGTGGTATATATACACCATGGAATGCTATTCAGCCATGAAAGAGAATAAAATCCCGTCATGTGTGGCTACGTGGATGATCTTGGAAGACGTTATGGAAAGTGAAATAAGCCAGGGACAGAAAGATAAAGAATGCATGTTTTCACTCATATGCGGAAGCTAAAAAAAGCTGATCTTAGAGAAGAAAAGAGTAGAACAGAGGTTACTAGCGGCTGGGAATGGCAGCGGAAAAGGGGGGAGAGGCAGAGATTTGTTAAAGCATATGGAATACCAATATGAAGCATGTGAGATCACCAATAACCCATTTTGCAGTTATCCATCCCCTTTTGTTCGAGGGTGTGGGACAAGAACTACAAGGAGCTGGCAGCTTTGGGCAATCTTCCTTTCATTGTCTATATAAGTATTAAACTATTTGAATCTAAAGGTGTCTGTGTCTTTGCCAGCAAAAGCACTCAGGCCTTGACCTCGGCCCAGCCTTGTCTTGTGTGTGCTTGACAAGTCACAAATGACTGAAGGAGAGAAGATATTTGTCATGTTTAAAACTGACCATGGATAAATATCTAAACTCACCTCGGAGTGATTAAAAATCAACAAGCAGAAGCAAGGAAATCCAACAGAAAATGGTCAAAAATAGGGGATACACTACAGTAAAAATCCACCTGCCCAAGAAGCCCATAGATGTTTGGTCTTGGTAGTTATCAGAGAGATACTAATTTTACGACATGGAGCTGTCACTTTGGGCTCATCAGATTGGCAAGAACATGAAAGGCAGACAACACTCAAGTTGGTGAGAACATCAGAAAGGGGGAAGCCCCAGCCCTGCTGGGAAGAATGCAACATGGCCCAGCATTCTGGAGAACAATCTGGAACTTCTATGCGGTATGAACATGTGGATATCCTGCACCCAGTGTCCCAATTCCTGACAGATGCTCTGTTATGGTTACTGTACTTTGTGTTCTCTTTGGAAAATACTTGCCTTCTCCAAGGTCATGTTTTTTATATTTCCTTCCAGAAGCTATACTGTTTTCACCTTTCATATTTAGGTCTAAAATCCATTTTGAATTGAGTTTGTGTATGGTGTGAGAAAGAGGTGAACGCCTATTTTACACCATGTGGGTGTCCAGTGGGTTGTCACCATTTCACGGAATGGCGGAAAGACCCTTTTTTTCCCCACTGCATTGCAGAGGCACCTGGGGGCAATCACATGACTGTCCGTGTGTGGAATGTTCCTGAACCTCTATTCTATTCCTTTCGCCTATTTTGATTTATGCCAATTGGTCATGTACTCTAGAAAAATTTTGATATGGGCCCTTCAGGAACATGAATGGAGATGCTTATTTTAAACTTTTTCCTTTTTGTTCTTCTGTGTGTGTTTGTGTGTGTGCATGTATGTGTTTGTTTTAGGGTAGTAAGGAGTTAAAACAGTTTAGGTTTCCATTACTAGGGGGAATGGAAAAGTAAAATCCAATACTTTCCATACATTATATGAAATCCTATATACCAGCAAAAAAAAATCAAAGACTTAGATTTATATATAGCAACAAAAGATAGTCTCAGAAGTATAATATTGACTGAAAACTTACAAAATACAGTTACAATTTTCAAAGAGATTTAAATCATGTCTCTCATATAGACAAAATAAACACATGTTAAAAATTTTATTTAACCCATACTCCATAACTCATACTCATACACATGTTATAACCATTAAAAAGGTCAAAATTTATGTGGAGTAAGGAATGTTGAAATGAATCGTACATGGAGGCACCCAGTCGTGAGTTTGTTTTGCCTCCAGAGCAGGGAAAAGAACGCAGAACAGAATTTGTTTGTCTGTCAGTAAGTTGTAATCGTCAGAGCTGTAAAATCACTGTCACAGAACCAGAATGAGATGCCGCAAGGAAAAGAGTACAATAGACAATGCTGAGTTTTCAATTTATTTGCAGATTTCTTTATACGACGGAGTGAAATGTGTAAAAAAACATAAAGCACACAAAATCAATTCTATATATATTCAATAATCTAAATGCATGTAAGTAAATATATGGAAAGTGCATTGAAAGGATATATATTAAATATATTTATTAAGAAGACACCTATGGGAGAAGGATAGGGGTGGAGCTAGGGATGAAAGTGGGAAAAATTTCAAAACACATTAAACCAAATGAATGGTAAAGTATTTCCTTTGATGACTGTGGGCCATGAAATAAAAAGTATGTCAACTTAGTTTGGGACACTTGAAGATCTTTTAAAAACCAAAACGAAAGCAAAGGCTAGAACAAAAACAAAGCATGTTCACATATTTTTGTTTAAAACTGACCCTCTCATCTATCGGGGAGGTAGATGTTCCTTTATA